TGGGCAATACAAGTCAGGGGCTTTTAGTTATGAGCCCTTGCGCACTTGTTATGACAGTAATTATGATTTTGAGGACTCTGACTCGGTTCAGATGAGGAGCAATCTGCAAGAAATGGACATTTGCGGACATTAGGGCCGTTTCTACGGGCTGGAGTATGGATCTATGGTCCGACCGGGTCCGACCCGTTAATCTGAACGTGTGTCTGTGGTTCTAAACATGATGGTATGTGTCATATCTATATCTTTTACTAAACATAGAGTGAAACATGGATTCATAGTTCAATGACAGTTGTGTTTTCTGCTGAATACTGGGTTGAAACTCGTAAAATTGGTTTTAGTTGGAGCTTGATAGAACTAATTTCATGGACCTGGCGCTGTTGTCTTCTCTCAGTTTGTTTGGACCTTCTCTGAATAAGTCCAAGATCGTAGGGACTGCTGTTTACACTCTTCTTTTTGTTACTTTCATTGCTGCATCCCGGGGCCGTACAAAATACACCCATTTTAAGGTTTATATGTGTCAAAGCGGCAGCAGGAGCCATGCCATAAACAGTGAGGCGAGAGCTGCGACCCCTCTAAGTACGTCATCACTTTTCTGGCCAATCAGAGGCGTTGATATTAAAAGGTTATTTTACTGATTTATTACTTATCTATAACACAAAAACACATTGCAAAGGTGGAAAATACATGCTTTTAATGTGTTTTATCAGAAAAAATATTGTTTTTAATAATGTTAGTGCCCTTTTAAGTGAATTTGATCGTGGTATGGTTGTTGGTGCCAGACGGGCTGGTCTGAGTATTTCAGAAACTTCTGATCTACTGAGATTTTCACACACAACCATTCATAGGGTTAACAGAGAATGGTCCGAAAAAGAGAAAATATCCAGTGAGCGGCAGTTCGGGGGACAAGAATGTCTTGTTGATGCCAGAGGTCAGAGGTGAATGGCCAGACTGGTTTGAGCTGATAGAAAGGCAACAGTAACTCAAATAAACACTCGTTACAACAAAGGTCTGCAAGAGAGCCTCTCTGAACACAGAACACATCAAACCTTGGGGCAGATGGGTTACAGCAGCAGAAGACCACACTAGGTGCCACTCCTGTCAGCTAAAAACAGGAAACTGAGGCTACAATTCGCACAGGCTCACTGAAATTGGATTGGTGATTGGAAAAAGTTGCCTGGTCTGATGAGTCTCGATTTTTGCCATGACATTCGGATAATAGGGTCAGAATATGGAGTCAACAACATGGAAGCATGTGTAACGCCTTGGGCTAAGGATCTGACTGGGCCGAAGATAGAGAGCAGGCTTTCAGACCAGGTTCGCCTACAGGAGCCAAAGCGGGTGAATAAGAGACACAGAATGAGTAGTAGTGGTTTCAGTTTGTATATATTGAAGTTTGTCAAAGGTAATTTGCATATATGATAATCAGTTATGGTATAATTATAAGGTGTAACAATTAATTGGCAGGGTATAATAAATATTACTAATACAATAGGTATATTATAACAGGTATTGATTAATGCTTTCTTTATATTATAAATAACCAGGTATAATTAATATTATAATATAATATGTATGGAATATATTATATTATCTATTAATTATAACTCAAACCAAAAACCAAAATCAAAGTCAATCCAAGTCGAGGGAAACTAAAAAAAAACAGGAATGTTCACCAGGTCTTGGTATTGTGAATATACCCAGACATAAGACAAATAGAGGCTTCGACAAAACTGCGTACAAAATAAAGTTTTATTGTCAGAAGGTTTGAGCGTAGTCTGGACAAGCATAACGCAGCCTCCCATCCTGTCTGGCTCTAGCAGAAGTCTGTCAAACAGGTGAATTGTAGCTGCTTATATACTGTAAATGATTATGTAAGCTTAGACTTTGGTTGCATGACTATGCAGAAGTAAACGTATGGTTTCAACGTACAACTGTGATATAACTGTTTATGTAATGGAGCAAACTCCAACCTACATGGACAACATCATCCCATACATCAATATCTTATCTGCTTTATGCTTTTGTAAGCAGTTCAAAGTACAAGTGCACCTCCCAAACTCTTATTGAACTTCTCAACATGACATTTCAGCAAGAAGACAATTATTAGATATTCACAGTATCACAGTTCAATTACTCTTCTTTAGAGTTCAGTTCATTAAAAGGTCCATATGTCATGGAAAGTTCAATAATCCAGGTTCACAAAAAACAAAAGGTGTCCTACCGCGATACAGCGGAGGTTGGGTAGCTCGCCATCGAAGAAAAGGTCAAAGAAGTACACACACAAAAAAAACCTGACCTAAAACACAAGTCAGGAAAAAGAAAAAACCATTAGTTAAGTACCAGAGTTAGCAGTACTTTAAATAGGTACAACATAAATAAATACTAGATAACATTAGAAAGCTAAAAGACTAGCAATACATCAAATACATTCAATATGAACCGCATAATAAAGTAGGAAAAAATAAATATGAAGCTTCATTCAAGTATTACATTGTGAATGTAAATGTGTGAGTGTGTGTATTCAATGTAAAGTGCACTTTAAATATACATTGTACTCGAGGTACTCAATCCAATTCAATAATAATAGTGTTGCGCAACAGATCTCATTCATTCAGACGGAGTCTGAATTCTGTTCAAAACAAATATGGCCGCGTGGGCATTCGTATTCAAAAGTAATCAAAACACGCCTTAAACAACTTAAAGTTTGAGTTTGATGCAATATTCTAACATATATGAGTGTAGCCTAAAGTTCGGTTGGACTACCTTGTCAAATAAAACGAGTCTCAAAGAGAAAAGAGCAGAAATACACGCAGCAACCGGCTGTAGCTCTATGCTGCGTTAGCATTAAACATAGCTAAAGGTTAGCCGGAGATTGCGCTTCATGCTTAAACAAAAACAGGGAAAATACTTAATTTCGCGACTCACCAATAAGTAGAGAAAGGGACGGATCAAAGACGGATGGGTCCGCAGGACCAAATGTGGATGTTAATTTTCCGTTTCTCTGGTTTGAAGAGTCTTCAAACAGCGCCACAACAGATAGCAACGTGAGGGGTTGCTGACAGCTATCAATTCAAGCTGAGAGTGAGAGTGAGAGAGCCGCGGGGAGCGGCTGCTATATGGGAAACGGGCCTGCCAAAATAAAGCGGGGCAGGATGAGGCTTCAGCTAGGGACCCGGGTTACACATGGATCCATCCTGCCTTGAAATCTTTTGATGTTTTTAATCTATCCGGGAAAAACAAGTTAAAAATATGGCATACTGTAGCTGTTTAGTTAGGCAGTCTATGGTCTTTTTAATAATAGTCATACAGTATCTATCCCATCACTATCTGTTGATGTGTTATTCTTGAACTCTGCTACGATTCTTAACATTTCTGGTTCGGTGACATCTTCCAAGTATATGGAATGACAATTTTTACTGTCTTGTGTTTTTACAAATGCATTTCCAGGTTGTTGAATTTTTTTAGAAAGCTTTGGTCCTATATTTACAAAGTAAAGTGGCCATATCTTTAACATCTATTTGATTGTTTTACTCATTTACTAAGTAATTTGGTATAGTACACTTTGGTTTCTTCTTTTCCATAACTTGTTTTAATATCTTCCAAATCATTCTGATTTTCTAGTAATGCTTTTATAATTATAATCAGGGGTGCACATAATATAATCAGGGGTGCACTCCCCCCTGGACTGCCACCTTAACGTGGTGGGGGAGTTTGAGTACTCGGATGATCCTGGGAGCTATGCTGTCTGGGGCTTCATGCCCCTGGTAGGGTCTCCCATGGCAGACAGGTCTCAGGTGACGAGTCAGACGAAGAGCGGTCCGAAGACACCATGGACAACACTAATAGAATAACAGTGACGTTGCCCGGCATGGCGCAGCCGGGGCCCCACCCTGGAGCCAGGCCTGGGGTCGGGGCTCGTATGCGAGCGCCTAGTGGCCGGGCCTTAGCCCACGGGGCCCGGCCGGGCTCAGCCCGAAAGGACGACATGGGCAGTCCCTCCTGTGGGCCCACCACCTGCAGAGGGGTCCGTGGTGGCAAAACGGTGCTGAGAAGACTGGGCAGCAGTCGAAGGCGGAGACCTCGGTGACCCAGTCCGCACACACAACATCTGGCTCTTGGGACGTGGAACGTCACCTCGCTGGGGGGAAGGAGCCCGAGCTCGTGGGGGAGGTTGAGCGATACCAACTAGAGATAGTCGGCCTCACCTCCACACACAGCTTGGGCTCTGGAACCCAACTCCTTGAGAGGGGTTGGACGCTCCACTTTTCTGGTGTCTCTCTCGGGGAGAGGCAGCGAGCAATGGGCCATACTCATTGCCCCCCATCTCAGCCGCCACGTGTTGGAGTTCTCCCCGGTGAATGAGAGGGTCGTGTCCCTCCGCCTTTGGGTGGGGGACAAGTCTCTCACTGTTGTGATGGCCTACGGGCCTAACAGCAGTGCAGAGTACCCGGCCTTCTTGGAGTCCTTGGGAGGTGTACTGGACAGTGCACCGCCCGGGGACTCCGTTATTCTCCTGGGGGACTTCAACGCCCATGTGGGAAATGCCAGTGACACTTGGAGAGGGGTGATAGGGAAGAACGGCCCCGCTGATCTGAACCCGAGCTGTGTTCAGTTGTTGGACTTCTGTGCTAGTCATAGTTTGTCCATCACAAACACCATGTTCGAGCACAGGCCGGAGGTCGATGATCAACTTTGTTGTTGTATCATCTGACCTTCGACCGCGTGTCTCGGACACTCGGGTGAAGAGAGGGGCGGAGCTGTCAATCGATCACCACCTGGTTGTGAGTTGGATCCGCTGGCAGGGGAGGAAGCCGGTCAGACCTGGCAGGCCCAAGCGTGAGGGTCTGCTGGGAATGTCTCGCTGAGCCCCCTGTCAGACGGACTTTCAACTCACACCTCCGGGAGAGCTTCTCCCACAGGTCCCGGCGGAGGAGGGGGACATTGAGTCTAAGTGGACTATGTTCTCTTCC